CAGAGAGGGCAAGGCACTCACTACCAAGTAAAATCTGAGGTCTATATGTGCTAAGCCTCAGGAACAAGATGGACAACAGAATGAGTTTCCGTAATTCCAGGCTACTGAGATTCCCCTCATAGGGGTCATCAGACCCATCCGCCTTCTTCCCAAAGCATGGATAGCTGAGATCTCCTAGGAGGAACCCTAGCCCCCACTCCAAACTCATCCTTCTACCTCATCACCCCCAACCCCCCATGGGCAGAAGAAGCTACAAAAAGGTGGGAAACTGATGGGAGGCAGAGTCAGGGTCTGAAGCCTCTGGAAAAGTGGACACAGGAAAAACAGCAGCCCAAGAGAGCTGGGGGAAAGACTCAAGTGTGGCCAGCTTTGTAAATCCAGCAAGGACGCTATCTATACCAGCTGCTCTAGCAAGCACTTCGGATCAGCTGGGCCCCAACCACAAACCCACAAGAAGCCCATGAGAATAACCCTCACGGTGCCTGGGTCTGTAAGAGAAAGGCCTTTGGGACTCCATGCCAAGGATCAGGGGCTAAGGAAGGAGATGGCCGTTCTAAATGGTGAGCAATGAGAAGGGATCCTGGAGAGAAGCCCAAAAGGAGAGGAGGTTCTAGGGTGGAGACATTCAGAGTTCAGACGTCCAGCACGTGGTTCAGGTAGGAGATGTAGCAGATGGCGAGGCGCAGGATCTCAATCTTGGAGAGCTTCTTGTCCGGAGGCAGCGTGGGCAACAGCTTGCGCAGCTCCGCGAAGGCCATGTTGAAGGCTTCTACGCGAATGCGTTCCCGCGTGGCGTGGGCCGTGCGGTACTTGGCTGTGGCTCGGCGCCTGCGCCGCCTTTCCTCCCGGCTCAGATGCTGCAGATCTTTCCGGCCAGGTTCTCCCTGCTCTGGACCCCGTGGTTGGGCCCCTCCAGGACCCCCGGGCCCAGTACCATCCGGCCCCGCCCCTCCTCCGCAGTCGCTAAAGCCCGACTCTGTCTCTGAGTGGGTGGGAGGCAGGTCTAGCTCCATGGTGTCTGAGTTGAGCATCATGTTGGAAGCCGGCTGCCCTGGGAGATCGGGATCCCTTCCCCACCCCTCCCTTTGGGGACTTGAAAGCTGGTTGTGGGAGGGGCAGGAAGGGCCCGGGGTGCTGGGGCCTGCCACTGAGCTCTGGAAGTCAGAGCCACTTCAGGGTTCCATGGCCAGAGCCCCTTCCAGTCTGGAGCCTGGAAGAAAGAAGGGAGAGTTGATAGGAGCAGAGGGAGGAAGAAGGGGGTAACCAGGAGATGAAGGGGGTTGAGGAGGGCTTGCAGTGGACTGAGAGGTGAAAGGTACTGATGAAGGAGGGGAAGATAAGCAGAAGGATGGCATGGGAGTGGGAGGCAGGTAGACAGATATGGTAGAAAGGAGCAGGAAGAAAGATAGTAAGAAGGAACAGATTCCAGAAAGTGAGCAGCAGGAAGGGAGAAGGAAAAGTGATGAAAAGGAGAACCTGAAGTGGGATAAAACTGGCAAGACTGAAGCCAGCTCCAAGAGAGAGCGGTTGGCTGTGAGGCTGGATCTTTCCCAGATGTGAGGGGAGAACTACAAGCCATCGCCCTGCATCCCCTCCCTCTCAGGGCTCATTCTCCACTCTTGCCGTGTCTGGGGATGGAAGGAGAAATAAACATGCAGGTTGCCCATTGTACAGAGGACTGGGACGTAGGGAACTCGGCATAGCTGCCTCAGCTCAGACCCTCAATCCCCTCAATATGACCACCAGAGACATTAGATCCTACCGCCCTGCCAACTAGAATCAGAGGAAGACACCTCCTCCGGCCACAATCTCCTGCCCTGGACCAGCCCCTTCCTCTAGTTCTGCCCTCAACAGCCTCAGCCCTTGCCACTCCCGGGCCCCATAGCCACTTTACAGGAAGGATGGGGAAAGGGAATATAGTCACCTTTCCACCTGTACTCTCCCATAGCCCAAAGTAGGTTCAGACACGGACTGCAGAGGAAGCCATGGGCAGCTTGTTGGGGCCACTGTTGTGGGGCTTGGCTAAGAGCTGTTTGTGCCCAGGACCATAGGACGTCAGGGTGAGGTGGCAGGGGCATGACTTGGGCACTAGAAAGGAAGGAGAAAGAGCTTTGCTCTAGGAGAGCGTGAAGAGGGACAGTGGGGCCACTTGCTGCAAGCTCAACCTTACTTAGTGGCCAGAAACAGAAGCACAAAAGCTGCTTCAGTCACCATCTATCGTCCTCCCCAGAGATGGCTCCCCGCTTGACAGATACCTCACAAGGGTCAGGATCCTTCAGCCTTGCCCCACCCCACCACAGAAGACAGGTTCAAATCAAATCAAGTCAACTAACAGTTACCGAGTTTTAGGGCAATGCAAGATCATCAACATCTGAGGGCAAGAAAGACAAGAACACACACAACCATAACGCTAAACGGGAGGTGGTTAGTGCCCTACACTCTGGGGTCCAAGGAAACAGGGAGGGGATGGGAATAGTGTGGGAAGCCCTAACATCAGCATCTCCCAATACATGTTCAGTGCCCCCACTCTCCACTACCTTTCCCCTCCTCCATGCTTGGGTTGGTACCAGGAGTTCAAAGGTGGGGTTCTAGCAAATCCATCACATCCCAAGTCTCTCTCTGCCCCGTCCCCATGTCCCTTCATCCCTGATCACTTTGCCATGCCCTCCCTTCCCCTTTTTTCTTCTCCCCAGTCTGGCCACAGTCCCACCTCTATCTGGCCCCACTGCTCTCCCCAGCCCCAGTCCTGGCACAGCCTCCGTACCCATCAAGTCCTCACCCCAGAATCACTTCTGGTCTCAAAGTTCCAGGCTTCAAGGACCATGGAGAGTAGCAATTCCAAGCATCCAAGATAGTAGTTCCCACCCCGCTCTGCCAACCTCAACCCCCATGGGGAAAGAGAGGCACAAAGAGTCAAAGGGGAAAGGGGGGAAGAGGGTTATGCAGAGACAGAGGGAGGCACAGGACAGAGAAGAGACGAGCTAGAGGGAGGCTCTGGGAGGGGACTTGAGCCCGAGAGTGGGAGGGACACGCCCACCCCTCCTCCCAGCACATAGTTTCCCCTTTACCTAGGAGGACCCTGTCAGGGGATCCGGCAGGACAGGGAGCAGAGTTGACTCTGGCTGCTCTGGGTTCATCCGTCTGCAAAGTTAGTGACCAGTGTTCTAGAGCTCTCAGGGACAGCGTAGTGTGGCCATACAGGCTCCAGGGCAGATGACAGGGGTATACATGGTGGGGAGATAGGGCCCAGATGGAGGGGGTGGGCTTGGCCAGGTACTGGGACCACCCACACTCACACACACACTCACAGTCACATACACACCTGAGCTGGCCCAGCCCTATGTATATATATGAAGATATACACACACACCCCCAGCTCTCCATTGGCTGGCCCAGGCCTCCCCCCTCATCAATATTAAACAGCCAGGCCAGGCAGCCATTGGCAGAGGGATCTGGGAACCCCCCCGGGAGCTGAGGGCGGGGGCTGGCCCTGGGGGGGGCGGGGAGTAGGGGAGCAGGGACATCTGTTCTCCATGCATATTTCATAAGCAAGAAATGGAGAGCTTGGGAAGGGGTGGGGCTGGGGCGAGAGCCAGGGCAGGATCACAGACGAACCCCTCAGCCTCCCACATCAGAGACGGCAGAGGCAGAGCCCCTAGGAAGCCATAGTCCGATTCTGAGTCCCAGACAGACTTTGATAGCCCCTTGTTCATGTCTTCTTTTCCCAGAGAAGGCTCTCCAAGGGACTAAGGGAAACTGAGAAAAGATCAAGTGGACCGCACTAAAACACAGAAGACCTGTGACTCTTCACCCTCTCTAGGAAGCTCTCATCTTTCCTAAAGCTGGTACCCACCCCTTGCCAGGCTTCTAGTATCTACTGTTTAGGCTCCTGCCCTCACCACCCTGGGACTCAGTCACCCCCACAGCCTCCTACCCTAGCTGCCAGCCTGCTACCTACTCCATCAGCAGGGGAGGGGTAGGGTCAGATTCTTGATACAGACCCTATGAGGAGTTTTTCTAGGCTGGCAAGCCCAGTCTGACTCACTGGGTATGAGGGGCTCCTTGGAAGTGAGGGGCAAGGGCTGAAAGGAGAGGAGTGGAGTTGTGCCAAGAGAGAAAGAATCAGGGTTGGAAGGACACAGTAGGAGAGAAGGGCACAGCAGCCCAGGCAGGCATTGAGTATGCTGGGGCATCAAAAGAGCAATAAGGAAACTAGTTACAAAATTATTTGTAAATGAGCATTGATTAAGTTCACATCAATAGATCAGTGGCCTCCTCCAGTGTGCATGTGTACACCTGTGCATGTGTGTGTTTTGCAGGGTGGCAGGAGGGGGACAGAGTGCTCAGATCAAGGGAAGCACAGAGAGGCAATTGGCTGGATTTCAGTATCTGTAGGTCTCTCCCCAACTCAGCTGTTGAATGTCTTCATTAATCCTCTGTCAAGTATCCAAAATGAACTATGGTTGGAGAGGACCCTAAAGGCAGTGTGGTACAATGAAAAAAAGTTCTTTCAGGTGTGTGGCCTTGGACAAGTAACTTATCTTCTTAAGTCTCAATGTCCTCTTCTATAAAACGAGGTTAATTGTAGCTTCTTCCTAGGTTGGCATGGAGATTGAGATAATGCATGCCAAGGACCTGCACCTTAGTAGGAACATACCCTATGTTCAGGTTGTGGGAAGAATTTGCCATTTCCCTCTTGCTGATCAATATTCTCTGGGCTTTCTACCCAATGAGGCATTCCCTAAGGGGGATCCCATAATTTCTCCCCAAGGTCCACCACCCCTCCCCACCCTCAGGTCTGGGAGGTGCCAACTCCCACCTGGGCAGGCCCAGACAGGTGCCCAGGCCCCAGCAGATGGGCTGAGCTAGAGGGGAAAGGAGGCTTGAGGAGGGGGGTTGGGGGGACAGGGGATCAGGTGGCATCTCAGTTCTTGCATCATCATTGCCATGGTGCTGATTAAAAACCAATCTCCACCTAATGAGCCCCCAGCAACAAACCTACCTCCCCTAGCCTTCCTGCCCTCTGCCCCATCCCAGAATTAGAAGACAGAGAGACTCAGGAGAGAGTGTCATGGGGGAGATGTGAGATCCAGAAAGAATGGGAGACAGAGATGAAGATGGGGGAAACAGAGGAAAATGAAGAGGGTGACAAGGGGGAGATATTGAAACGTAGTAGGTGGGGGGATAAGATGGAAAAATAGTCATTGGGTAACAGAGGCAGGGAGACACACTCACAGACTGATGGAGACATGGAGAGACAGAGAGAAATGGGGAGACATAGTCACAGAGGGATGGAGACAGAGACATAGGAAAGAGAGGACGGAGACAGAATTGCCAGGTTGCCAAGGCTTTGTGAAAACCCAAAGATGCAAGATACAGGGGGAGTTAGAGACTTTGAGAGAGACTTGAGAAGAAGAGGACACTATTAGGGTGATAAAGAACTGGGTGAAACACAGGCACAGAGAAAACACAGATATTCACGGATAGACAGATACTGAGGAGACAGAGTCCTGAGGGAGGCCCCAAGACAGAGTGGCGACATACAGACATGGGGGAGGAAAGACACAGGAAAAAAAAAAAAAAACACTGGAGACAAAGGCAAGGTGGAGAGATGTAATAAACAGAACAGTGTCAGTGAGGGACTGTTACTTAAATGGGGAGGTCAGACATTGAGAAAGACAAGAAGTTGAGAAAAACAGAGACCCTAGAAGCAGAAAGGAGACAAGAGAAGGGCAGGGGAAAAAGTAAACCTGATCCCAGGATCCCTCCTCTTTTAAGCTGTTTAACTAGATACCCTTGGTTAAACACCCTGCACCCTCCATTCTGGAAGCACCCAGCCCAAGCTGTTTCCAGTGGAAGCTGAGGTTTGCTAGTGAAGAAGGCTTAGTCTGGGACCACCTCTTCTCTTCTCTACCTGTCATCTCTGGATCCGGGACTCTGGAGAGCCCAGCCTCAATCTTCACACAAGGCAGTTTTCACCTCCTCATACTAAAAAGAACATATATATGTGATGTTGTTGTTGTTGTTGTTATATGCCGGGGAGTCAAACCCATGAAATGGTGGCAAGAGCTTTGAACTTGGGGGCCAGTACACTGGGTCCAAGTCCTGGTAACCTTGAACGAGCCACTTAACCTTGACTGCATCTCTTTTGTCATCTGTGAAATGGATATAATGTTGCTTTCTCATAGAGTCATTGTGACACTCAATGCATAGGAGAACGGCAGGTAAACTGTAAAATGCTCCCTCTAGTCCCTACATTTATGGTTTTTAAAGGTGGCAAGAAATGTCATACACACATATATATGAGGCATTATGACTGAAAGAGACTGAGGAGAGCTCTGAGGTCAGCTCAGGTTCCCAGTAGCCGTAGGCACCAAAGAGGGAGAACAACCCTATGGAGTTGAATGGAAGTCTTCGCTTTGAGGAGGGTGAGAGGAGAAAGCAGGGTCTGGGGAGGAGGAATGATTATGGCTAGATGGCTTATTGTTGTTATTTAGTGTTTTATAGATGTTCATTTTCCAGATTGTTGTTTACAAATCTCTTTTTATTCTCACACACCCTGTGAGGTGGGGTGTTGGGGGAGGGAGGCTGGTGTGGGCAAGATAGGAGGCTTGGGCCTAGTCCTTGAGGGTGGGGGGAGGGCCTGGAGGAGCCTGTAAGCAGTGGGTTTGGCAGGAGAGGGGGTGACATATGTAGGAAGCCCTGGGGACCCAGCCAGGCAAGCGGCTGGCAGGGAGAGCAGACGGCATTAACCCTTGCTATGCCACATTGTCTGACCCTGCCTGAGAGTAGCCTATGGCTAGGGGTGTTATTTCATAAGAGGCTGACAGGGTTTGGGGTCAGAGGAGCAAGGCAGGCAGGAGGAGCCTGGGGCAGAAGCTGTCATGTTTCTGGGAAATGGCAGCAGGTCTTGGATCTTCCATCTTTGGGTTTCTCTCCTTGTCTGTTGCCACATGGCCTTTTGTCAGTCTGTCTTTCCTGGTTTTTGCCGGTCTCTGTCTCCACCTCTCTGTGCCTCTAGGTGACAGCGGGTCTCCAATCACTACACAATCTGTCACTCTCCCTGCCTCTAGCCTGGCTGGAAGCCCCCCTGTTCAGCACCCAGCCCCTGAGGCCTCTCTCGCGCCCCTAGCCCCCTAGGCCTTATTGCTTTTGTCTCCTAAGGCTGCCCTCCTTTCTTCTTTCCTCTCTACTCACCTCTCCTCAGCTCAGAGCCCATCTTCAATCTCATTATGGCCTCCGACCACTGTACACACTCCCCCCTTCAGCCTCTTCTCCTCCCTCCCCCATCCATCTGTCTTCCCCTCAGCTCTCCTCTTTGTGTCCATCCATCTGTCACCACCAGCTCTGAGCCCACTCCCCTCCTGGCCACGCCTGCCTGGCCTTTCTCCCCTCGGGCTCAGCTCCCTCCCAGCACTCAGCCTCCTCTTCCTCCTTCAGCCCCACTAGAATTTCCTATTTCCTTAGTTTCTCTTCACTAGTTCCTTTCTTTCTGATACCTTCTCTCAGCTGTTTCTGCCTGCATGCCTGCCTTCCTCCTTTCCTTCCCCTCAGTTTCTCCAAGTCCTCCTCAGCTGAAAGTAAGGGGAGACATTGGGGACTCTAGGGTCCTAGCCCCCAGCCCCTGAGCTACCAACCAGAGAGGCTAGTAACACTTACTCACAATTGCATCATCTCAAACTAATTACTTCTTAAGCCTCCTGAGATGACCCTTCTACTCCTGCTCTTAAGCTTTCCCTCATTGGGGACAGGGGCTGTAGCTGCCCTTCTCTACATGTGGGAGCTCTTCTACCTTCTGAGTTTGGATTCAGGAAGAAATAAAACACCAACTTGAGGCCTGTTCTCAACCCTTCCAAGGATTGCTGCCTCACTGGAACTCAACTTCAGCAACTCCTGCCAAGCTTTTTTTGAGGACGGGATGCTGAGGGACAAGGTCTCTTTTATATCACACATGCCACAATTCAAATCCCTACCATCCCTAGGTCAGAGGACAATAGTGCCACTCAGGCCTCCCTACAATTGACCCCTGTGCCTTCTCACAGAGCTCACAAACTGATCAAACCTTCAAAATTGTCCCACACCCGAGGAGTTTAAGAGGAAAGGGAGATAGGCAGGCAGATAATCTGACTCCAGCTCTCTTCACAGAACCAGACTGTCATAGCCAGGGAACTCAGAGAGCCCCTTGTCTAACCACACTTTACAGATGAGAATCCTGGGGTCCAGACAGGAGGAATGCCCTTTCCAAGATCACACAGAATATTAGTGGCAGACCAGAAAATCTGGTCCTGAGCTCCACCCACTTCTTACAGTTCCTGCCCCAAACCAGCCCCTTTATCTTCTGAACAAGAACCCGTTTACAACACTGGTTTTGCAGGGAGCATATGCGGCCTTGCCTGGTTATTTATCTTGTGTCATGTCCCACCCTGCCATCAAGACTCTGGATCCTGCCTTTAAGGAAAGGGGCTGTATCATATTCCCTTTTATGATGACAGGATAGTGTCCTGCCCATGGCTATGCTCAATAAATGTTTATGACTGCTGTGGTTGCCACTGCTGATATAACAAAGTTCTCATCCCAGCTGTCTCTAATTTGCTGTGTGACCTTGGGCAAGTCATGTCATTCCTCTGGGTTACCATTTCTCCAGTTTATTAAATGCGTTAGGCCATACCCATAATTTCTAATCAACAAACCCCTATTGAATAAGGTGGGATCTTGGTACAGTATATTCACTCAGAACACGAGACTGAGTGAATATACTGCCTCCCTGGATGTGCCTTTAAGGGTGGAGACCCAGATGTGGGAAACAAGAGTGTAAACCCTTTTACCCAATGTAGCTGGGAAAGAGACCCTAGCTGGCAGGAAAGCCCTTAGTGTTGCTCTTGAGAGATGAGGTGTCACAAGTAGCGGCAGACAGGGTCTTGGGAGCAGAGGTGGTCAGTTATTCAAATATCCATACAGGTGGGAAGAGAAGGTGCAGTGTGAACATACAATGGGAAAGGGTAGAAATGGGAAACAATAGATTTCAGAAGGCACAGAGTTGAACGATGCTTAGACCAAGTGGGGAGAGGCTAGGGAGTTGAGAAGTCTGTGGCTCTTAAGATGCTGCCACCCACTCACATGAGGTCTTCAAGACACAGAAGGCAATGGTGAGCCAGAACTGTGATCTCAGAAAGGCAGGGTGGTAGAAGTGGAGTGTTTGAGAGCCCCAATGGGCCATCTAGGTGTCTGTGCTCCTTGCAGGAGGACTGGCTTCTCCAAGAACCATGGAAAGAAGAGCCCAGAGGTGTTTTGTTTTGTTTTGTTTAGGGGGTGGATTTGGGAAGAGGAATAGGGGGTCACAAGGTCATGTTCAGGATTCTTCCCGAGGCAGGGACTGGAGTATAGATGGTTTCACATTTTGTATTCTTTTTCACCCACCCCTGCATCCTCTTGATTCTGCCCAACCCTCTGCATCCCTGTTCAGCGCCCTCACCGATACCCAGCCACTTCTCTGCTTTCTGAAGCAGCCAGCAGGATGAGGGAGCTTACTGCTCTGTCCTCTGGGAGACCTGTTGGCCGAGGGAGGCGTGGAGCCGGCCCAGATGATGGTGGCAGCTGTGCTCGACTCCCGCCAGCACAGCATATAGCTTCTCCAGCTCAAAGCTGGGAGGGCTGGGATGGGGGAAGCTGCAGGGTCTATATTCATATCGCAGGCCCCCAAACATGCCCCCAAGGGGGACTCAGGGAGAAACCTGGGGAAAAATCACCTCTACTCAGCAGGATTTGAAAAGATAAATGGCCCAATCAGGGAATTAAGAGTGACTTGGGAATCTGCAAAACTGGCCATTGCTTTTCCATCACTACTGGTCTTCAGGCATGTGTCAGTCAGCCTCTTGGCCAGCTGTGAGGAGAGAAGGCTGGGTTTAGGCTTCCACTTTTGTGGGTCCTCTTCCACCCCTCAGCTGACTGCCCACAATCATTTAACAGTTCTGCTATATTCCAGAATTTTGCTCCATGAAGACCCAGGGAATTAGAATCTTTCCAATTTACCTTCCACAGAGCCCAATTTCTCTTTCTAAAACAGTCCAGAACCACTTTTTGTAGTTTTCCTCTACAAAAAGCTTACCATCTTCACAAAGCCCAAACTCCTTGGCATGTCTATCAGGGCCTTCATGATCCAGCCTTCGCTTCATCTCAGGCTGATTCTTATGGCCCAAGCACACTACAAAACACACCAATTCCCAAAGGTGACCTCTGCCTTTTCTAAACTCTTGTGCTTCCACATATGTTGAACTCTTCAGATCACAACTCAAATGCCTCCTCCTCTGGGCAGTTTCCACATGCCACCCCCATTCCCATGAATCCCTCTGTGTGCTCCCAGACACTCTGTGAGCCACTTGAGGGTAAGGGTCATATCTTCTTCATCTCTGTACCTTATTGTCTCAGTGAATAAATGTCTGTGGAATAAAACGTAGGAAGAAATTTTGCTAACACTGTTCTTATCAGAGGGAACCAGGACTCTGCAAAAAGCCCTTCTTTCAGGACTTCAGCTGTTTTTGACAGAGACTCCCTCTAGGACACTCTGGAGACCCAGAAGATAGCAATGTGAGGTAACAATGTCATGACTTCCAGGGTCCAAGGTTTCCAAACAAAAGCCTAGGAAGAATAACAGGTAATGGTATGGGTTGTATGGGACAATATATTTTAATGGGAACTTGTTATTTATATATTTACAAAAAGGAAAACAAGGAAACAACAAAAAATAGATATTACAGCTTAATAAAAAGTACAACTGACCACTGTGGGCTGGAGGTGGGATACCCACCCAGCAGCATGCCCACCCTAATGTGCCACCTGAGGGCCTGGAGGAAGGGTGACAGGGAGATGTCAGGCTCAACCTAGAGAGCACCCCTGTCTTCCTCAGAGGTTCCTTGTAGTTTGATACAATGATCCTGGCATTCAACCGTTCATGCCCTTCTTCCTGGATAGAAGGTGGTTGGGTGCAGGAAATGGGGCGAGGAACAGAGGACAGTACAGCAGGATGGAAAGAACAGAAGAGGGATCCTGCAAAAAGGTTAAGTTAGGGGCACCTAGGGAGTAAAAAAGAGCAAGAAGCTTCTATTTGTAGTCCTAGAATCTGGCAGGGGCAGGAAAGAAATAAAGGAGATGGGGAGGGGGAGGTATAGGGGAGAGGACGTGTTTATCTTTTTTGGACAGTTCTATTCCTTTATGTCAATCTCAATCTGAGCCAGGCCCAGAGAAGTTCCAGTGACAGACTAGTGGCTTATGTCCCAGTAGGACAAATAATATAGGATGTGAACTGTACAGCTGGCCAGAAAAGCTGGGGTCCTCCTCAGTAAGACACAGCTCCTGGCTCCCGGGGAGTAATGAAAAGGACATCAGCTTTGGCATTGATGCAGTAGGTAACGATGAGAGAGAAGATGAGGATGCCGAAGCCCACCATCAGGGTGATAAACTACAGGGGGGAGAGGAACAGGGAAGGAAAAGGGTTCTCAGAACTCAATGCAGTTTTGGTAATTGTTTGGTGCTGGGAGCCAGGGCATCAGAATTCCGGTTCTGGCTTCAAGTACCATGTACTTCACAATCATAGACAATATCCCCCAAGCTGAGACTAAATCTCATCTGAAGAGGAAATTATCTGTTCTCGCTTCCATCTTGTATTACTTGGATTTTAAGTATCTTGAAGGTAGGACTCACAGCTTTGATTCTCTCATAGCACTTCCACTATTGACTTATTTGTGACAGGTACTCAGTAAATATTAGATTGGCTCATCCCATTTTTTGTGGGTTGAACTGCCTTCCCGTAAAAGGTATGTTGAAGGGGAAGTACCTGTGAATGTGACCTTATTTGGGAACAGGGGCTTTGCAGATGTAATCAAGTTAAGATTTCTACTGGATTAGGGTGGGCCCTATTCCAATGACTGGTGTCTCTAAGACAAGGGAAATTTAGACACAGACACACAGGGAGAACACCATATGATGATGGACGCAGAGACTGGAGTCATGCTGTTATAAGCCCAGGAATGGCAAGGATTGTTGGCAACTATGGAAAGCTAGAAGAGACAAGGAAGGATTCCCCTCCACACCCCACCCCACCCACCCACACACAGAGGTTTCAGAGACAGCACGGCCCTGCTGACACCTTGATTTTGGACTTCTAGCCTCCACAACTATCAGAGATTAAATTTCTGCTGTTTTAAGCCACCATGTTTGTGGTGATTTGTTATAGCAGCCATGGGAAACTAATATGCCAACTATGACAGATGGGAAATGCCAGATGGGAGTTAGAACTGTGGAGGGGCTAGCTGAAATACACAGAGTAAGGAGTATACCCTTGGGTCTCATGGGGAATTAACATATCTCAAACTATCAGTGAAGAAAGCTTCTGGATGGAACATGCTGGCTGAGTAGGGACAGATATGCAGCAGGTTTTTGCTACTTAGGGGGTATGACAAGAGGCAGTACAAAGAGGTTAAAAAGATCTCTGCCACCTTCCTCCCCTAGGCTTACCTCAAGTTCTTTACTGGCTATCAGGAATATCCGGGCACGGATATCTTTCCAGCGGCTCTCGGTCCATGTAGAGTATTCAGTAGAGCTCCACTGCCTCAATTCAAAGGCAGGTGACAAAGCCCTGGCCAGTCGTGCCGTGGAACGCACACACTGGGGAAGCCGGTCAGTCTCATTGGAATTCAAAGGGCCCTGAACCCATGAATAGTCATACAGCTGTATAGGAAGACAGGCCACCGCACAGTGCTGAGGTGATCCTTCTTGCGCTCACTCCCTTCACCTTTGCAGACCCAGGCTACTGCCTCTTCAACACTCAAGTTCAAAAGGTACATCCCTCTATCTCTCCATCCCAATCCTCTGGGTCCAACTGGACCTAGGGGATCGTCCAACTTTCCCAAGGAGAAGGGAACCCTCAGGGCACCTCTGACACCCACTACCACTCACATCCTTGTTTTCAGTTTGGACTTTACTTGGATCCTGGCATTGTTCTCGGGTAAGGTTGATCACTGTGCCAGTCAAATTTGCCAACGCATACTGTACTACATAAGTGGTGTTGGTGGGGCTGGAGACAGCGATGTAATGTTGAAGAGGCCCATCACCTGTTTAGAGACCATAAGGGAAGGGATGATTTGGTAGTTGAAGGTGGAGTGGGGGTGGGCAGAAATAGGAAGAGCCCAAGATTGGCAGGAGCCAGAAAATTAGAAGTTCAGAGAAAAGGATCCAACATATATCCTGAGAAAGAAAAGTAAATAATGAAAGAAGAAAACAGAAGGAAAAGAATTTTTAAAAAATTAAGATTAAACCAAAATGGCAACTTTTTCTCTACCCCTTTCCTTGGCTTCAGATGCTTACCTAAGTAGGGCTTCAGGTCCTGCCTGATGATAGACTGGAACCAGGAGTTGTTGGCTCTAATGAGGAACCCATAGAGCAGGCGGGTAACCTGGGAATGGAATAGGTAGAAGACAGAACCTTGTGATATAGATCCCAGGAAAAGGGTTAGCAGTGGAGATTCAGACATAGGGCAGAAGCCAGACTGGCCAGAGAGATTCTGGGGTGGGAGACAGCAGCGGCTCACAAGCATGCAGGTGAGGCTTACACAGGAGTCCTCACTGGCAGGTAGAGGTGTGCTGGATTCCAAGGTTTGGAAGACATAAAGGATGGGGTCAGCCTGCTGCATAAACAAAGCTGGAAAGAAGCTAGGGCCCATCTGTTCTTACCGTTTGGGGATCAGCTTGAACTGTGTCAATGAAGGCAGTTCCTCCTGCAAGTTTGTATAGTGCACGTCCCAGCACCGTGGCCACATCTGCCAGGGCCTATGACAGGCGAGGAGGGAGCTGAATGGCCTGCCTCTGCTATCTTCAAGTATTAACATTCTAACCATCTTCACTGAGTTCCCCATGCTCCCACGCCAGCCCAGGTCAGTGCTACCTTGGCAGTGTCTGTCACAAAGTTCAGGTACTCTTCAGGGCTCAGCCAGTCAGGGTAGCTCACATTAATGTTCTCAGCAGTGTCGTAAATGCTCTGGTAATAGCTGCCAGGAAAGGCGGTGTGAGCCCTTCTTGGCTACACTCAGCCAGGGCCCTGCCCCTTTCCACCCACAAACGTCCCTTATGCAGGAACTGTCTATCCTATTTTTTCATCATCCAAGGGAAAGGCAAGAGAGAAAATTAGCATGCCCCGTTGAAAGTGTAGAGAATGGGGAGGTGGGAATGAGGGTAAGATTGGTTAGTTAAATACAAAGATTTCCGGACAGACAAGGAAAAAATGATAAATGAGAACCGAGTATAGGAATTTTTCCTTCCTAGGAGATCTTTAATCACAAAAGACACTTCTATATGGTTTGGGCTGGGGATATAGGAGAATGGTAAAGATGACCTTCAGCAAAGCCTGCCAAACTTACAAGTCTCCCATCTTTAAAGCACCATACAATTCTATGATTGTTCCAATTAACATTTATACTGAAGGTGACTGGGAGTAGAAGAGAAAGTTAGCAGGTATTAGGACCAGGTATGCTCACATATACATACTACTACTCTGGGGCAAATTACCACGAAATTCCTTGGGGAGCCCTAAGAAGACAGATTTTAGAAGAGGGGTTAAGAGAAGAGAGCACCCAGCCTTCACCATCAATAAAATGCCTGCCCCACAGTCAATCAAGTCAGCCACATAAACTACTCCACATAGCGTTCAAATAAATCGTCCCTCACCCCAAAGTGGTGCAGCCGAAATATTTGGAGGAGAAAGCTGACCATATCTGCCAAAACTGTCACTCCCCTAAATAAATGTGGTGATACTTAGCTGGAGTCAGAGAACCAGAGCTTAAGCATTTTTACTCAGAAACTCATTTGGCCTGTTGATTGGAATGAGGGAGGCTTGGAGCTTTGCATCCAGCCCAAGTTAAGACGTCCCTTGTTGTTCCAGTCTTCAAGTTAGGGGCAGTTTAGGGGTGCTCAGGGCCACGAAAGAGGTGATTAACAGGGCCTCACTTCTTAGCTTTGGAGCCACTTCAGTTGCAAGGGACACTTTTACCCTCACACTGGATCATGTACACCGACCAGCATGTCAACAAGAACACATTACATTTCCCAGAGTATGAGCATTATCTGTGGCACCCTTTGAGTGGGGCCCTGATGAGTGACATGCTCCCTCTGTCCTCCAGCTATAACACATTATCATCCTTCTTGGGCTCTTGTTTGACATGATGCCCTCTGCTGGCGGCCCTGGGGAACTCAGGCCCCTGGAGAGTTTGGGAAAGGAAGAGCTGTAATAGAGGATGACTGTGCTGGGAAAGGGATTAACAGGATAGTTTTCTAAGATAAGCGCCAAGTCAAATGAGGGGACCAGGTCAGATATGAACAAGCTACTAGCAAAGAGCATTAACTCCCCTGAGGTTCTGGACTGGGAGATGTCAGGTGAGTATACAGTGGTAATCTTGTTTGACAAAGAAGACACTTCTTTCTCTATGGATCCCAGACAACAGAAGATTCTCTTTGAGAATGAAGACAGATGAAGACAGTGCAGGGCCCAGTATCTCTTACTGGTTATGAAAGGCAGCAGAGTGATCAGCAAGAACCACACCAGAGATGTTTTGAGCTCTAAGGAATCGCTGCAGAGACGATGGTGGGAGAGGCTGGGACTGGTTCAACCTCTTGAGGACAACAGCAGGGACTCCAGCACCACTGCTCTCCAGTGTGGTCAGGAGGTGCTCCACCTGCAGAGACACGGGAGGGAACTGACAGGAAGCCACAGAACAGGCCCTAAAAAGGTTCTTTTAGGCCTAAAATGCTCTATACTTCAAGCCTCCAAAGTCTGCTGGGAAGCAAAGACAATGCCTCACTGATGTACATTCCTGGGACCCAGGTGCTCTGAATTTCCTGAAGCCCCTTGTCATCCTTTTCAGAGTAAACAATTAGGGCACAAAGAAGGAATAAGCTTGTATATCTTCATATTCCGACTCGACGGCAAACAACAACAACAATCTTCATATTTATACTCTCCTCAGTATTCTGCCTAATCCTCAGTACCCACTGCCATTGAGTTGATCCTGCTCATAGCAACCCTATAGGACAAAATACAACTGCCCCATAGGGTTCACAAAGCTGTAAATCTTTACGGAAGCAGACTGCTTCGTCTTTCACCTGTGGAGCGGCTGTTGGGTTTGAACTGCCGACTTTTAGGTTAGCAGCTGAATGCTATAACCACTGCACCACCAGATCTCATTTATTATGTGTTCTGTAAAATTAGATTTGTAAATAAGTAATACAAAACAGTATGTTGAATGCCTAATACGTAACCCATTCTGGAAGTGCTATAGGAGTCCAGAGCAAGGGTGACACTGAAAGCTGGTGTGGCAGGAAGAGGACCTCCAGGAAAAAGGAGGTTGAGCTGGACCCTGAAGGGGAAGGGAGGGTCTTGAACAAGTAGTGAGGAGGATATGAGTAGGGAATCTGGCACTACCAGGAATCAGGTAGGGTAGCCTTAACAACTGGATATATGCAGCAAGGAAAGAAGGGAACCGGTCACTCGGTTAACTAGTGCTTAAAGAGCAGTGATAGTCTGCTAGGCAGTAGATGATCTAATCATCCCAGCAAACCAGTGCTGTGTAACTGAGCTGATGATTCTTCCCAGGGAGCAATTACAGCTATAGTATCCATCCTCTAGCCAATACCCAACCTAAGGTCTTGACTCACAAGTCCTGGGGGCAGCTGGGGACAAAGTTGGATAACCACATTCTAAGCTCTTGAAACAAGAAGTGAAGAAAGATGCTCAGGTTACCTGGTCCCTTACAGACACGTTTTTCTGAGACATGGGGTCTGTGTGCATCCAGAGCTCTAATGAAGTCCTTAAGGCCACCTGGGGAAGGATAAAGAAGCAACACTTAAGAGTCAGTCTCCTGCTCTGGCCCAGATCTGAGGGAAAGAATGGGACCAGAAGAGGGGTCAAGGGAAGAGGTGGTGGTACCTGCAGTGAGCACAACAGAACAAGAGGAGGATGCTTTAAGTAAGAAGGAAGAGGGGTGGAGAACACATGCTACACACCTGTCCCAGTTCCACGAATGAGTCAATGTTCTCTAACTTCACAGGAAACTTGCCCTTCTCCATATCATACACCATTCTTGAGCTGCCAATGTAGTCAAAAGTTTCCTGAAGCATGGGGATGGGTAGGAAAGAAAACAGAAATTCCAACGGTTAGGGCAGCCTCAAGAAAGGCCATCAGTAATGCTCTAAACAAGAAGCTTACTGTCTCAGGTCATCTCAACTGTTAGCAAACTTAGTCACGTGACTTTGCCCTCCTCCCCACCCTACCTCCCAGCTGTGACCATCCCTCATATGTATGACTGCATCACAGGACTTCCCCAGCCCAGATGTAGGGCAAGCAGCCTCAGTAAAGGCCTGAGGCAAATATCAGCTGTTATATGCCTGCTTCTTGACTCTCCCCCACCTCCACCCACTCAGCCCAGCTGCTGTTCCCTTACTTTAGGGCCAGGCTACACTGCCAGTGGGCAGAGGCAGAGGCCTCAAGAATAAATGTGAAAGGACACCTCAAATTCATCTTATCAGTGATGTGGGGGAGGAACAGTACATCAATTCCAGGTAAGAGTACAAAGGCATTCTAAAACTGGGGAATCTGAAGAGGATACATGTAGACATATCCAGAAGTTCTCTGCTGATAAGACAATTTAGGCTCAGTGCTGCAATCCCACTCCTCTCTGACCCACAGACTTGGTGCCTCTGAAGCACCAATCACTCCTTTACTGTCCTCCTCCTTCCCTGCCCACCCCTTACCCCACCCCACCCCCGCCCAGAGCCCTTACCCCTTGGAAAAAGACGAACATGACATTCCGGGGCAGGGAAGTCACATTTGGTGCCTTTTGCAAAGCTTCAGCTGCAGCCAGCTGGGTGACGAAGGAGGCAACAGCACTTTCAGCCCCTGGGGCCACATTCCAAAAAAAGGAACGGCTGTCCAGCTGGGTATAAGAGTAGAAAAGGCAGAGGCACACTCTAAAACTGGACATTAGAACCAGGCCCCCAAGGCTCATCTCCTATTCCAGTTAAGGAAATACACATGTCCAGGGCAATGGCTAGAACCTGGGAACCTACAGCCCAGGTCCCTCTGCAGTTGAGGCACCCCAACGTGGTAACTCTGAAATCTGATATGTCCAAGAGAGGCCTACCAGCCCTTCCTGCGTCACCCCTGCCGACCCTGGTTTTGCAGCCAACACTCACCCGGGTGGCAGCAACCACAACCCTGTCATCAGGCTCTAATGTCCCAGATGTATTTATAGGCTTAAGCATGCTCCATACGTTGTAGTTGGACAGGGGGTCACAGACAATCTCTGAGCAGGACAAAAACAGCGAGAGATCAGCAGGAGTGAGGGAGAGGAGGCATATAAAGAAGGCATGGAAGACTTCTCTGACTAGTGCCCCAGGGATTCTGAATCATTTTCTCTCCCTCCAAGAGCTCCAAGTTGGTTTCTCTGCTGCCGTCCACTTCAGGGACAAGCCACCTCACCTGTTCAGAGTTGTTTCCATTTATCCCACCTAGGAGTCACTGCTAATGCCCACTGCTTCCCTACCCTGGTCTCTCCAACATGCCCTGGATTGGGAACCCCTCCTATCTCCAGTACGCCCAGCAAGCCTTAGGCCTGTCTTACCTGGGTTGATGCTAAAGGTGCTCTGGATGGAGCTGCGTCGCATACAGGTGACAGTGCTGATGACAGCATGCATGTGTGAGAAAAGCTGCATGGCACACAGTGGGAAGGCTGGTGCTGAGCCATTCTGACTCAAGTTGTGATCTCGATAGCACTAGAATAGGAGGGACACCACTGAAGAGATAGCTTGCTGTGGGGCCAGTGCCACACTGCCCAGAAAGAAGAGGAGCCCAGCTCCATCCTTAGGTCACTCCCACAGCTGTCCCTATGGTTGTCCTGGCACAACCACAGGATCTAGAGGGTCAAAGAGGTACCAACGGGCACAGACTTAATGGTCTAGATGGGGCAGATGTAACTGCTCCACTCCAAACACCCCCACTTTGGATCTTCAGCTACTGTTCCTAATGAAATTAGGTATTAAGAGCATCAAACTGGAGATCAAAAGACCAGATTCAAGACAGCCTGGACATCAACTCATCATGTAACTTTGGACAAATCTCTTAACTGTTCTATGCGTCAAAATGAAGAAGCTACACTAGAACTATAGAATATAAGAGCTAAAAGAAACTTCAGAAATTACCAAAATAAATCCTGCAATTCCTAGTCCAATGTTCTTTTTACTGTATTAGTGGTTCTCAACCAGGCTATATACCTAATTTCATATTAAATATTCTCTACATTTTCTTCTAGTCTAAAAGCCTTTAATGATGTGGTATCAGGCAGCAGAGAGAACTGAAAGAAAAGGGAGACAAATATACTTCTTGGGTCTTTTTTGGAAGAACTGTCCTCCAGGGGGTGGACAGATAAAATGAGTCTCCCTCCAAATAGGAAGAGAGCCTAAAAGAACAATTCTAATGCCCCTGCCTATCCTTTCTCTAATCACAATTGCTAGGAGCTGGCAGAATCATTACCTGCTTGATGACATTGGTTTCATTTTCATCTTCAAGCAGAAAGATGGGGAAATTAAAGTCTTCATATGCCAAGCCATCACCCAGAGGATTCCATGGTACAGCTTTACAGTGAGCAAACTCTGGCCCATAGGAGTTGGAATAAATACCTGAATGGGAGAGTAAGGAATAGGCTGTTGGGGCACAGGCCCTTGGGGACGAGATGAGGGAGGAAGGTTAGGATGTCATAGGAATAAGACAATGAGTTCAAAAGGAGGGGTGGCTCGAAGGAGCAGGCACCAATCTACCACCACACACAGTACAAGGATATCAGGTAGCCCTAGGCTGGCAGATTAGGGATCTGAGCATATGTCAAGAAAGGATGGAAGGTAAGTGGGAGAAAGGTGGAAGCAGGGTAAGAGAGGGATGAGAGACAAAGAACTACTATCTTCTGTTTGAGAGTCAGTTGCTCACACCGCACACATGCATGCATGCACGCACGCACACACACACACACACACACTCAAAACTCAAACAAAGAACAGACACACCACATCAAAGATATTAAGTCACAAGTATCTAGCCAACATGACCAAAGTAACAAGCAGGCTTGGGTAATGGCAGACTCCTTGCTCCTTTGGGTCTCTTACCAAACCCATCATTGGGGCACTGCACACTCGGAGAGAAGCCTGCGGGGGGACTGGGCTTAGCCAAGGATACTGCAAGACCAGCAATTCGCCCGGTTCTCCCCTTTAGCTTCTCCATCAGAGTCCTGCAACAGGGAAGGAATGCCATGAAGGTATCACGCAGCCCAGTATCCTGTAACACCCCCCACCCCTACCCTGCCAAGGGAAACAAATGGGGAATTAGGGAAATAAAAACTGTTCACCTGTTCTTGCCTTTTCAGTCTCTAACTCCTGAGTCAGAACTATGATCCAATCTGACCTTAGGGATTAATCTCATCTACCCTGTCGTGAATAACCCTGGGCACCATCCCCCTTCCTCCCTAGGGTCCTTACTCATTTGAGCTCTACTTCTACAGTCAGAGTTGATTCTTTCTGAGTGTGTATCTTTCCTTCTGAGGACCACTCCCACTCCCTGCTCTATCAGGCCAGGGCAGTCAAGGGAAGTTTTTACCCGCAAGTGTGGGGAATGTTCACTGTATCTTTCCCTCTCTGGATGCATTTTCCCAGTAGGCACACCTAGTTCTTACCTGGTAAAGAGCTTGCCCTCCAGCAGAACCATGTAAGGTGGGTTGGGGCCATCAGTCAACACCCATTGCAAGTCTTCTTCTTTCTCCACTACATGGATAACCCCTGTGTCCCCACTAATGGAAGCTGCCAGAACAGAATGGGTCAAATTACATCTCCCACAGTTGACAATTCTGACTGCCTCACTGACTGACCACACTATTTATTCCCCAAAGATGGCACAGCACATTTGAGTTAATGTGGCCACCTCCGGACTTGAACTGAATTAGCTCTATCTGAAGGCTACCAGGAGGGAATGGAAGACAAAAGAGCTCAAGAGGACTACTCATTAGGGCAGCCTTGTTCACTAAATGTCAGAAAGGCATGGTAACCTTCATTGGCTTGCCCTCTTTCCCTCAACCTCACTTAGCCATATACATAAGATTCTAAAACAGTAAACACCAAAGTTTCCAAACCTGTAGTTTCTCCAGGAAATGGCAGGCTCTAGATCTCTAGCTTGGAGTTCTAGCTTTGAATCTTCCTTTGTGAAAACATATGTGTAGGTTCACTTGGCCTCAGTAGCCTTCCTGGATCTTCATTCCTTTTGCCCTATTTGAGAATGACTTTACTTGCTTTTGGCCAGTTTTATGTGAGGTTAATCAAGAACTTTGAGGTCTCCAGAGCAGAGCTTCCCGATTTTGAGACTTGAATGTATAGGAGATATGCTGATAGTGGATTCCCCTCAGTCCTTGGGAAGGCTAGGGGCCTGGGGTTTCCAAACTGTGTAGACTGGTTACCTCCAGCCAGGAGCAGACTCATCCACATAACTACACACACACACACACACACAAGTCAAACTCACTGCCATCAAGTCAATTCTAACTCATAGTGACTCCCTCTGGGTTTCCAAGGCTGTAAATCTTTAAGGAAACAGACTGCTCCAACTCTCTTCTGTGGAGCAGCTGATGGATTCAAACCACTGACCTTTTGGTTAGCAGCTAAATGCCCTAACCACTAAACCACCAGAGCTCCTTACTTAACCCACAGTGCACTACAAATATTACCACCTTCTGTATGTACCAGAATGCCATCCAAATATTTTCTATGTGTCTTGTGGCATACAATGACAAGGAAGCAATGCTCTAGAAGATAGATTTACAAAGTCCAGAATGCCTTGGATTCTACAGAGCAATACCCCTCCTGTCCCTAGTGATCAATGCAGAGACTTAAGTGTGTTATTAAAAAATTATTTTAGACCAGTTCTCAACCCTGGTTGTGTTATGAGAATAGTTTTGGAGATTATATTAAAAAAAAAAAAAAAAAGATGCCTGGGGCTTACCTCATATCTACTAAATTCAAATCTCCAAAAGTGGAGTCAAGGTATATGTGTTTTTAAAGCATATCACATGCAGTTCTTCATTAAACACAGCCAGCTGTAAGAATTATGGTTCTAGACTAAGGTACTAAAGTACTTATAAGTGGCATGAGACAAAAAACACAACTATTTGCAGATAGCCAGATGAGCAAAATTTTTCTCCCATTGGATTTGGTAAAATCTACACATAGAGGCAGGGTCCCTAACATTTAACTGTGCCTTATAGATGATGAACTCATTGATGGTGATGATGAGGAAATATGCAAGAATAAAGAGTTTGGAATACCTTTAGTAAGGATCTAGATACCTATGGTAGTTACCAAAAGACCAGTCCTTGCTATAGAATTTGAATCATGGAAAAAGGAAAAGATAGTCTAACAAATAAAAATATATATAACTTCAGTTCCAGAGAGGACTAGAATAAATTATGACACTGGACTAAAGAAAATCTGCATGTAACTCTGGGTTCCAATTGGTGACTACGTAATCTTAAGTAATTTGCTTACTTTCTCTGGGGAGAAGTTTTTGTTCTCCCTAGTCATCTCTTACTACAGGGACAGATTTTAAAAATAGAAAGTAAGCAAAGAGAAAATAAATCTACCTATAACTTTTACGCACCTTAAGGAAAAAAGCTGAATAGAAATGGTATTACAATCAGAAAGCTAAACTATTTTTCTTTAGTTTTATCATGATAGCAACTGTAATTAAAGAGGGTGTAGCCTACTCTGGACGGACAGATATGATGAAGTAAGACTTAGAAATGAGTAGGCTGAAACAGGAAACAAGACTTTAATGAGGAAATGGCCAGAGTCCAGCCCCTCCTCTCTCATTCCTCTGTACTAGAACTTGGGTTTACCTCTAGAGGCCATTGCTTGTTTCCCACAGAGTTGCTTTAAGAATTTGCTAAAAAATGCATGTTTGTATTCTGTTGTTGTTATTTGTCATGGAGTCAGACCCGACTCACAGCAACCCCTCCTTGGGTTTCCGAGGCAGTATCACTACGGAAGTAGATTGCCCAACCTTCCTTCCGAGGAGTGGCTGGTGGGTTTGAACCACCAGCCTTCTAGTTAGCAGTCAAGTACCCTAGGCACTACGTTACCAGAGTTTGCATTCTAGAAGCCCATCAACTAGAAAGCCCTACGTTAGAAAATGAATGCATATAAGCAAACATTTACGTGCATTACTAATCTCAAAGGGGATTTCTTAGACCCCACCTCCAGAAGGACAGAAACCTGGCCTTTTATACTTACAATGAAATTCCAGCAAGACCAGCAGTCTGATCTCAGTCCACACTCACCTGGTTCTTTTCTACCCATAAACACAGTTTAGGAACTAAGTCCAGCAGAGTTCTATTTGGGCTTGTTTAGGACCAGTCAACCTACTCCCAGTATTTTCTATAGCAGGGGCGTGGGCCAATTAGTATATAGTACAGCTCAGGGAAGCAAAAGCAGAAAAGTAATAACAGCCTCCTCGAACAAATTCTTTGTTTCCCAGTGTCTGTTTTCTCCTACCAAATTGGAAGAATCACACAGTACTACTGAGACCAAATTTCTTATTCAGCATCTATATAATCACCTATTAAAAAGTATATTGACATTCAACTTTGTGCAGGACTACTCTAACCATTTTTATAGGTGTAAATTTAATATGATGATGAAGAAGTAAGAGCAGGCCCTACATTTCCTGCCTAACTATGAAACTGCATTCTGACAGATCAAAATCTAAAGATAAGTTAAGCAGTGGAGAAACTGGGGTTCAGCCTTCATATCACAAATTTTTTTCCTTCTGTGATTTTTTATAATTTTTAGAAACATGTCACCATGGTTTTAGAACACATTCATAACCCATAAAGACAAGTCTGAATGTTTCATTAATTCTGCTGACTACTATTTGGCATCTCAAAGGCTTCTTCTCAAACAGTTCACTGTCTTTAAGCCCATTTTGGTTCCAAAAAAAAAGATCATTCAGAGGGCAGAGGATGACTGGACTCCATAGGATATGAGATTTCTTTCTATTTAGAAAGGAGTATTGTAGGATGATTAAGTCTTGGTTTAGAAATTGGACCAACAGTGTTCAAATGCTAGCTTCACCACTTATTATCAATATAATATTAGGAAAGTTATTCAACTTCTCTAAGCCTCACTTTCAACATTTTTTAAATGGGAATAATTACAAGACCTCATGGGTTACACAGAAGGTTGAAGAAAAAGCTTGGTATGTAACACTTAGTAAATGTTAGCTGTTACTGTCTTGCCTGGTTTGACAGATGGTTCTCTATCACCTCCTGCCCACAAAGTCTAATTTGAGTGCTGTCTCCCAAACAGGACATGGATCTTACTTTATATACAGGGCACATACTGAAACATCATTGGCCACAAACACAAATCCCAACCCCCAACTCACACTGGCAGCCAATCTGATGAGTGGCATTAAGCAGACGGACACATGGAGCTGTTTTATTTAAGGGGATGTAGATCTTCCTCTCCACTGAATTTCCTCTGCACAAACCTGAGAAGATAAAAGATATTAGAAGAAAATGAGACATTGGTATTAGCCTCCATCAAGTCATCAGCTTACTGTATGACTTGGGTTAAGTCATTCAATATTATTGAATTTTCTAAAATAGAAAGAATGTGCATTCCTATCATTTCTTGGTCACCTTATTAGAAGATACATGCTCTACAAAGCACTTAGCTATGTGCCTCAGAGGGTGTTTACAAATTCCATATAGAGAAACTGATACTGAAGCTAAAGGAGAGAAAACTTGCTTTGTCAAGGAAAGGCACATTTGATATCAGCTGGGTCAGCTGGTGGCATAGTGCCTAAGGCATCTGACTGCTAACCAGAAGGCTGGTGGTTCAAACCCACCAGCCACTCCTTGGAAGGAAGGTTGGGCAATCTACTTCCATAGTGATACCATCTTGGAAACCCAAGGAGGGGTTGCTATGAGTTGGATCTGACTTGATGGCATTTTTTTTTTTTTTCGTGTTCTGTGTATAACTAGTTAATGAAAAGGTGTAGATTACAAAAACAAAAACTTGATTTTCCAGGAGTTTGAACAGATTTTGTTGTTGTTAGCTGCTTTCAAGTTGGCTTCAACTCTCATGGCGACTCTCCATGATATGATATGTTTGAGCCCACTGTTGAGGCTACTGGGTCAATCCCTCTCATTGAGGGTTTCCTTCGTTTTTGCTCATCCTTTACTTTATCATACATAATGCCCTTTTCAGGTGACTGGTCTTTCCTAATGATTTGTCCAAAATAAACAAGATTAAGTCTTGGCATCCTTATGTCTAAGGAGCATTCTGGTTGTATTTCTTCTAAGACTGATTTATTCATTTTTCTGGCAGTCCATGGTATATATTCAATATGAACAGAATTGGGAGAAGCCTTATGCCACACACCTGTCAGAGTTAACCAACTCTTGGTAAACTACACCAAAAGCACCAGTAGGTCATTTGTGTATGCCCACAGTGGGGGGCAGTTATAGTTTCTCCTCTGGGATCTTTAAACATAATGTGAATTTGGAGGAAGGCACAGTCATGGTTACATACAGGTATGTTTGCATTTTAAGGCTCCAACAACTAGAACACCATGTATTAAAAAATAAACGCAAGTAAGCAAACACTTATGTGCATCACAAATGCATGAAGCTCTTTGGACCACTGCTTCAGAATCTATAAACAGTTAAGAAACCCACATCAGAAGCGTCAATCTACAGGTGAGAGAAACTGAAGTAAGGCACAGGCATATAGATTTACGGTGAAATCAAGAGAGGAGGAAATGAGGAAACTACCTTCCTAAGCCTCGCACTGAACCCACAAACTAAGGCTGGGTTCATCTTAAAAAGTCAAAGTGTCCTGAAAAGGAAGCTGAACCCTGACACCTGCCTCTTTTGATTGTGGTAGGGTGGTTGAGGCCGTGAGGAAAACTAAATATCCGGACAAAGTGAGAGAAGAGTCGGGCACGAACTCCAGAAGAGGGCTGAAAGACGGAATGGCGCAGAACAACGTGCCGCGGAGAAGGAACCTTCAGGTCCAGGAAAAGGAGGAACTTCTATCGTGGGAACGAAAGAGAAAGGCTTCACAGGGTGGGGGAACACAGGGGCAAAGGGACCACAAGGGAGACAACGGCAGTCGCTACTGGGCAGATCCAGAGACTTCTTACAGAACGAAGCTCAAGGGCGGGGGAGGCCTCACCTGCCAATAAGACGCAGAAAGACAGAAGGCGTAGAAGACCCTGACTTCCCCGGACTGCCTCATAGCCGCCCCCAACCGTAGCCATCTTGCTTTTTCGCTGAACGGAAGCCTATGTTCCCCTCCACTCGGGTAGCAACCTCTCTAGAACACCACTCCCGTCATCTCTGTGGCCCAGAGCTCCATAGACCGGAAGTTCGTGTATAGAGGCGCTTCCGGTGGCCGCAGCGGAGGGGCGCTGACGTGGAGGCAACCGGAGGGCAGTGGGGAGTGGCGGGACTACGAGCCGGGACTCGGAGCCTGAGGTCGCAGGGATGCTAACCAAATTCGAGACCAAGAGCGCGCGGGTTAAAGGTAGTAGAGAAGAAAAGGGGGAGCATGGAGTCTGGATATCTGGGGCGGAGCTTCCACAGGGAAAGGGAGAGGGAGTAAACGTGCCGGCCGAATTTGGCCCACCAACGGACCCAAAGGAAGGTGGCAGGATAGGAAGATAGGCCTGGTGGGCCCTTGTGTAGTCTCTTCTGCGCCTTCGGGCTTTGATTGACCTACAATGTGGTCCCTACCCCCGCAATCGCTGAAACCAACTCCATATTATTTTTCCTCCCCTGTGTTCCTGGGGGCTGTCCTTCGACTTCTATTCTCAGAAGGCCTAGTGGCCGGTTGCCTTTTTGCTGATCGTGTTATGGACCCTCATCTCTGTCTGGCAAAGTGGTTCAGAACTTGGTCTTTGGAATCATATAAGCTTGGTTTGGAATTCTGAAACAGCCATTAACAAGCTGCATCTCAAAATCTCTTTTCTCGTTGGTAAAGTGTAAATAATTAATATTCTCTTATAGAGATTTAAGGAGTTCTGGTGGATTAAGCACTTAGCTGCTAACTGAAAGATTGGAAATTCGAGCATACCATAAACCCTAGCGGGCTTTAAGTTGGAATCTACTTGACAATGACAATGGTTTTGGGTTTGGGGATACAGAGAATTAAAACAAGAAAGTATATGAAAAGTGCTTGGACAGACTCACTAGCTTCATAAAAGGAGACCATTATTAATGTGAAACAGATTCAGACCAGGTTCTAAGTCTCATAGAAGTCTAAGGCATTTGACTACTAACCAGAAGACTAGTGGTTCAAACCCACCAGCTACTCCTCAGAAGGAAGATTGGGCAGTCTATTTCCATAGAGATACTGCCTCAGAAACCCAAGGAGGGGTCGCTATGAGTTGGAAAACGACTCGAGGGCAGTGAATTTTTTTTTATTATTATTAATAGGAATCTTAATCATGAAGGATACCATTATACGTTTCTGGGACTTGGAAGGTGGAAATGGATCTTCATAAGAATCCTTGAGTTTTCTGTTCTGCTCCTAATTTCTTATTGGGCAGTAGAGAAGGAAAGTGAAAAAAAGTGGGGGAAAAAATAGGTGCTAGAATATTTGAGGGATAATACCTATTAATGAGTGTCTCTATATATCATAAGGGGAGCTCTGGTAGCATTGTGCCTATGGCACTTGACTGCTCACCAGAAGGCTGGCGGTTCAAACCCACCAGCCACTCCTTGGAAGGAAGGTTGGGCAATCCTACTTCCGTAGTGATACTGCCTCAGAAACCCAAGTCGGGGCCGACTCGACAGCAAACAACAACAACAACATATATCATAAAGGAGCCCTGGTGGCACAGTGGTTAAGTGCTTGCTGCTGCTAACTGAAAGGTCAGCGGTTTGAACTCACCAGTTCTCCATGGAAGAAAGATGTGGCAGTCTGCCTCCAAAAAATTAGACTTGGAAACCCTATGGGACAGTTCTGCTCTGTTCTATAGGGTTGTTATGAGTTGGGATCAACTGACGGCAATGGATTAACTGCATGAATCAAATTGACTCAAAAGCACAAGATTACCACATGTATCGTAAATGAAAAAAGTGAACAACCCAATGGAAAAATAGACAAAGATAACAAGTGATTTAGAAGAAGAAAGATAATTATTCAATAAACAAATGAAAGTATGTGCCAAGTCACTAATAAATGAAAGAAGTGGGAAAAAAAAAACCACCTTTTTTTCTTTTTGGTCTTCACTTAGCAAAATAACAAATAACTGACATCCTGTGTTGTCCAGATTATGGCAAAATGGTACCTTTATAAATTTCGTGGCAGTGTATATTGATAAGCCTTTATGCAGTTAAACAGTGTTTGATTGTATGAGGTTGCCATGAGCTAGGTCAGACTTAAGGTAGCTAACATCCATCACCAAAATTTGAAATGCACATACCCTATTCCTAAGCAGTCAGTCCCACTTCCACTTCCAGGTCTTTAGACTAAAGCAATAATAATGCAGCTAGTCTACATTATATGAAAAGTGTTTGTTGTTGGTTTGTTGTTGTTGTTTGCCGTCGAGTCGGCGCCGACTCATAGCGACCCCTCCTTGGGTTTCCGAGGCAGTATCACTACGGAAGTAGGATTGCCCAACCTTCCTTCCGAGGAGTGGCTGGTGG